GCATACTCTGTCGAATGCCTTAGAGAATTCAAGTAGCATTAAATCAATCTGCTTTTGGTGGTCTATGTTTGAGGATAGTTTATGTACGAGTCCTAATAATGGTGTAATCTGTAGAAAGTTCTCAGCGGAATCCGTGTTGAGAATAAAGTTACGTGTTCAGAATACAGTTATCTGTTTGAGGATATGTTCAAGAATTTTACACACAGTGCTGGTTGGTGAGATGGACGTGTAGTTGCAGGCATCTGCTTTACTACCTGATTTATGTACATGGATTACTTTAGCATTTTTCCAGTCTATGGGGAGGGAACAAGTTAAAGACGTGTTGAAGATCAGACACAGGTATTTTGCTACCCATTCTGCATAACGCGTTAAAAATTGATTTGCAATATTGTCTGGTCCAGTTACTTTTTTCGGATTCAGGTTAAGTAGTAAGGTAAATATTCCCGCCTCATCTGCTTTAGTTAGTACAATTGAACTACTGTAGGTTGTCAAGACATCCGGGGTACTTCCGTTATCTGTATAGGGAAGACCGATTGGAAATACGAGTTTAATGAGTTGGCTCCGTGTTTATTCTCTTCGCGTGTTTCTGGGCTGGCTGCATCTATTTTGAGGTTTGAGTAATATCAAAACCTCCGAGGAGAGTTTCTGAGAAAATTGGGAAGCAAATATTTAAAGTAGCTATCCTTAGCCTTCTTTGGATTTTAAGTTACTGATTGTTCTATTGAGAGTATTATTGGTTACCAAGTTGGGGTGTTTTTTATGGGATATCCTGATTCGCTTCACTTTTCATTTCAAGTGAATTATATCTCGATTTATCCGCGCGTTGTATTTGTTTGTTCGTTTTGTTTTAGTCGGCACAAATTACAGATTCAAAAGGAAGAGATCACTTTGAATCTCTGTCACAGTGTTTCAATGTCGGTGGTTTTGTTGTCAGCTAGGTTTCTGAAGGAGGCAAATTCAAAAATCTGGTGATCTAGCACGCTGGTGTCATGAGCTTCATTGAAGCTGAAAAAGATAGTTGTACATTTAGGTGAAATAGTTTTACACTCTGTCGGAACACTGCATAGCGTTATTTCGTGCTCTGCCAACCCGTCGAGAAGGAGACTTTTTGCTGAGCCCACATCCAACTGATCACTTAGAAAGTTCTAGTCTAGCAAAGAACTAGAACCTATTACGCGAGTAGGTTGGTCTACTATGTGGGCCAGGTTAAAGAACAACATTACGTCTAAAATTACGTCAGACAATCTTCAGAGATAGTTCATAGTGCGCCAATCAATATCAGCTAGGTTAAAGTCCCTGATCGATATCAATCTAGCCTCTTTTAGATGGCGAAGCATGTACAGACGGGTCTACTGTTAAAGTAAACACCTGAATACACATCATGTTGCTATTCCGCCATCTTACAAAAACATACTTGCTTGCATTTGCATAGAAATACTGGTGGCTGACAGTTCAAACTCCTCTCGAGAGATTATAGTTCCATGCTTGAAGATTGTTTCTGCCTCCACTTTCTGTTAGAGGGACAGCAACATGATTGGTGTTCATTTTAGTGTTCTCTTTAACAGTGAACCATGCTCTGCACGTACATATTTGGTGAAGGGCCACAATAGACGCAACCAACGATGATAGGTGAACAGGATATTTTAATTGACAAAAGATCGCCTCAACACCCTCGACGTTGGGATGAACCGTGAAAAAGAATTTTGTGTTTTATCACAATAGCCACCCCACCGCCGCATGTTGGCTGATCTTTGTGTATGATGTAGTATTATTGTACAGCTATTTTGAAATAATACACAGCTTTGTTTAGCCATGTTTCTGTGAGAGCTAGAAATCTTGATTGGCAGCGAGAATAAAAGATTCAAGGGAAGCTAGTTCAGGTAGAAGGCTTCGCACACTTGCGTTCGCGAATGTTGTTTCTGCCGATGTTGCATTGTGCGACATTGGAGAAGAATTGCCCCTGACTCCGCTTAGCAGTTTTTCTTTCATTTTTCGCTTGAGAGGCGGATCTAATTTCTATCTATGTTTTCCTATGCGATGAATTCTCTAAATTGCTACAGGTTCAACCTTCAGACATTGCTATAAAACATTTTTGCAAACCAGTTCTTTGAGATAGTCTCTGTTTCGTTCGGTTTTTGAGCAATTTTTCGGATTGCCAATTTCCAACTCGAGGGACGTTACAACCCTTTCAAGGTTGTTAACATAGTCTACGCAAAATGAGATCTTGCTATCCAAAGGAGTTAGTTCTTCTCATTTTCTTTCAATTAATTTAAGCTTATTTTCCTTGGTTTCTTTCAAATCTTCGGCAATTGGCTAGAGTTGCTTGGAAAGCTAGGACAAATTGGGATCAGGATTTATTTCAATATCGCTAGCTATTCGTAGTAGTTTTGTCAATAATATACATAGGTCGTAAAACACTGGACAAGCAAGCCGAGAACACGGCCACACAATTAAGAAGATACTGTCCGAATGAATACATTTGTCGTAGCGTATACCCACCTGCAACCATTAGATAAACGGGTTAGGCCACATGCCGACGGTGTCGCCGCGCCCTATGGCTCCCATGTGGTGTCCTCCGGAGTTTATGCGTTCTTTGTCGGGCCCTGGCGCCATTTCCAGGTCCCAGTGGGCAGCACGGGTGGTCGCTGATGCCGTTCTATGCTGGTTGTCGAGTGGGCTCATCTCAAGCGTAGAAAACTCAGCACTTGTTGCAGAAAATCCCGGTTGACTGGGCAGTTGCGCTAGGCTGCGGGCCTCTGGTAGATTGGGCCCTACGTATCCCGCCGGTATGAACAGCAGGATGCCAATCATCTGTAAGCAGTAGATAAACGGGTTAAAGCAGATTGCCACACTGTCACTGCACCCTGTTCATACCTCACGTAAAGAGATAATTTTTTGTTGAAATAGTATCTGAAATCAATTTCAGTGGTGGCGAGTGAAGTTGGACTGCGCTGCTACCACTTGGCTCTGTGAACCGCTGAGAAGCTGCTGTAGTCCACCTGTTTGCGGTGAACCGTGAGCAGTTCAACTGATCCGGTTAAGTTAAAGGGGTACTGACACAGATACATTGGCCTCACGTTTCTTTTTCTGCAATGTGTTTCTCGGGGCTTGTTAGTCATAACTAACACGGCACATCGTTTGCTACAGCACACGACAGATAATTAATTATGGGCCCCTCATTGTCCACCAGTTTCGGCTTAAGAGAGCTCCAAAACGACTAGTCTATGCTACAGTAACTGTATATGCATGCTACCTTTATATACAGGTACTCTAGTCGCCGCGTGCAGCTATTGCCACCTAGCGTGTACAGTTATCGACCATGTCGGCACGCAGGCCTGTGACGCACTTCCACACGGTTTGAATCATGAATTATTTTCCCCTCGGAAGCGGGACTGCAATGTCGCTAAACACATAACTTTGAACGCGTGGGCCGCGGCGATGCACTCGCGAGCACATAAGTATAGATATCTGGAACAAATGTGCAAAAAAATAGTGGCTATGACGTCATCATACATTTCTTAATTGACGGCAGTGTGATGTGGTGAGCGAAGTAATGGGTTCACTAAAGAGTCCCTTTAGATGCTGTCAATACCTTCAAATTTCAATCTTCTAGACTGCAGTAAAATACTTTCCAGGCTATATTTGCTCTATATATTTTTCAGAGTATACACGCATGTTCACGGGAATGAATAAAAAAAACTTTATTTTAGTCCTGCTGGACGCACTAAGCACGTAGCAGGCGTTTTCTACGTAGGGACCGAGGTGGAGTACCTGGCGGCCGCTTCGCGCGCCTGCTGGACGGCGGGCGCATTGCTGGTCGGCGAAAAGTGAGGTTCTGAGAGAGCTCTCCCACTTGTCGGAGGTAGAGCTGGAGGAGTGTTTCTACAACAGTGTTGGAGCAGTGTTTCTACACTCCTCACGGGAATCAATCCCGCAATTATTTCGGGCGCGAAATTTCGTGTCAGTATACCCTTTAGGTGGTCTGAGCCGTTCAGAACCGTTTTGCCCATCTGGAACAAAAAGAGTGTCCGGAAAAGCCACAGTGCACGCTGAAGACAGCAGCGCCACAAGCAGCTTGATTTGTGTGCTTTGACCTTAGTTATTTCAACTCGTTCCGAAAATTTCAGTGTTCTCACAGTTTCCCAATTTTTTATGTCTGTTTTAAAGACACTAATTGAAATCTTGAAAGCACCCAAAATGCCGCTAAGACTCGAAAAAGATAAAATGGTCACCAGCACGAGTGAAACACGCTAAATTTAGCGATTCTCTCAGTAAGTTAGCACCGCTGATTTCAAATCTGCCGCGCAGCCTGCACCGCTTCTTCCCTAATACCCCATGAGAGAGAGGGACAGACAAAGAGAGAGAGAGAGTAACCGAAACAAAGGGGTGCAACACCGTCTCGTTGGCGCGCGCACCGTTGGGCAGCGAGGCAAGGTGGCCAGCCGAGGGCGCCCCGGGCACAAGCAGCTTCTCGCAGAGCTCTCCGCCAGGGAAAACGCCGGGTGGCCGAAGAGCATGCGCAGCCCCGGGCGCATCCCCACGAGCACGCCGATCTCGCGCTCATCCCACGCCGTGCCGCCGCCGCCGCCGATGTAAACAGAAGCCCGCCTTCAGTGTGTGCGCGCGCGTCTCTCGGCGGCTCTTCGAAGTGCGCCACGCTCCCCCACCTTTTTCCACTCTTGCTTGACGCTGCCCGCGCACCATCGTTTCTTGCACCGGACGTTTGCCTCCTCTCTCTGCTATCTTCACTCTCCGAAGCTGCCGCGGACTCCTCTTACTTCTCGCGCTCAAAGTTACGCAGGCACCGAATAAATCGTCGAGATTCTCGTGCCATGCGACACCCGGAAGCTGACAGATCCCGGCCCGGCGCTGTACATCAACGTGTCATCCAGCGAGAACGCTTAGAGAGCTAGGCTGAAAAGCGGTCACCTCCAATTCACGAAGAAAGTTCTCTTCTTGCCCTTAGTTCTGGGGAGGTCCTGAGCGAACTTCGGACAATTATGGATGAGGCAGGAACTGCCAACATTCTGTGGAGAACACTGATGTGGGCTGCTGTGTTTGCGCTCTGCATCGTCCCATCATACGGTGAGTGAGAAGCAAGTGTTTTTCAAAGCGTGCCTTTTGGCTAGGTTAGCGTTGTAGAGGCGGCTATCGTACGTGCCTAAATCTATCTTACTGTGTTACTACAATGGTGTGTTATTGTTTATAAACTGACGTGAAGATTCAACGATCGAGATATTGGAAACAATGCGTGCTCTATGAGACTTTACTTTTACATGCAGAGACCCCGACATCAGCATAAGGTACGAATAAAAAGAATGAGTGAAAGATAGACATCTGTAAGTTAAGTTCAGAGGCCAAGAAATAAACAAATCCCATCAGAACACACCAAACCGGTGTCGTTTTCCCACCAAACATGGGCCACCAGAACACACCACACTGGGTCGACGTTCCCACCAGGACACGCCACACAGGGTCAATACTCCCACCCGAACACATCCCACCAGAACATATTCCACCAGGAGGCAAGTTCAGAGTTCAAGAAGTAAACAGAGCACTAGTAAAATATAGTTTCAAACGTCGAATCAATGTGTGCAGTCGAGAAATAATTATCAGTCGCTCGTATGTGTTTCTCGCCATTCATTGCATATGACAGCAGTTATAAACGGAATGAAGAACATATATTTAGAGATCTGGCCTGTTGTAATTTCAATCGTTAAAATTTCAATAAGCTGCAGCGTTGAAGTGCTGTAGCCGGAGCGGAGGTAGCAAAAAAAAAATAGCGAGACAGCCTGAAATATACTGAACATAATGTTGAATGACTAGTAACGCACAAAACAAATTTAGCAAGTGGTAAAGCGGCAAAAACCTCGCATGGCCGGGCAAAGCATTCCGTATATGAGTAGTGTGCCCAAACAAGACTTTATAAACACTAGTTCGATTATGAAAGGGACCGATATTCAGCTCATGATGGTATCATGTGGATGTTGGTTAGCGAGTTTATGTAGTTTCTTAGTAAAGCCAATCGTGGAGAGGCAATCGGAGTGTAAACATATTTTGAACATTCAACGTGGTGATGAAAAGACACACTGGCGAGCTGAAAAGAATGAAAATGGAAACGAGAAGGAAATACCCGTCGTATCTGCGATACATGAAGACTAGTAATGTACTGTACTTTAGTAATATAGTGTACATTAGTATTGCACTCTACATATGTACACAAGTACACTAAAGTACACGACGGGAAAGACTACAAATGCCTTGTCGACTTCGTAGCAATAGCCACCTCCAAGCTTGCTGGCGTAGTTACCCTGACAAGTGTCACAATTTACCGAAAACATGTAGCAAAACAAGTGGAAGTTGTCGGGAAGCGGGCTTTCTAATGAAAAAAAAATGGCGGCGGGTGAGGGGAGAACTGTTATCCCTTTGCTTGGTTTCGTACAACTATAAACTCAGCACGAGAATCGCATCTCGTTATCGGTAAAACAAAGGTAAAGATCGAAGGGGCAAATGTACGACAAGGGAGCGGCGTGCCATTGCCAAAAGGTCACCTGCTATTTGAGGTACCCATTTTCTGGAATCGCTACGGGAGGCTCATTGCTCTCCCATAGTTGAATAAAGTACCCAAAACCATCAAACACTTTTTCTAAGCACACAGTCCTGCAGCCGCTGACGTCAAAAGCACGCTTAAAAACCAAACAATACAATGCAATGACGTTCGGAAGCGCTCGCGTTTTCGCAATATTCAGCTCATTTCTATCTATTTTTAACCTTTGTAATATAACTGCTGCCGATTTTGCTTAGTTTTTTTTGTGTGTGTGAGAAGATCACATTCTTCGCTTTTAAACGTACAGGTAAACGGCGACTTGCGGCGTGTCACGACTCTGTCAGCCAATTTGCGTCAGTTTGTTGTAATTGTATCGAACCGTAAAACGGCAAAGGTCGCACTGGTAGTGAGGGCTCTTCAAAGTGAGTATTTATGACTGTAGTCGAATGTCGACTAACATTATTTATTTATTGGGTACAACATGGCAGTAAATAACACGTAAAATACCTAGTTTTCTTTTTTTATTGGCCAGTGCTGGTTTATCTACTTCAACTAATGCTTGCGGCACGGTGTGTTCGATGTGTGAATAAATATTTTTATAGTTCTTGTGTTTATGTTGCATAAGCACTTGTTAATCTAATAACCAGTAGAGAGATATTTGCGCCAGTGCTCGTGCGCTGCCGAATAGTTAGTTTTTTAGGCACATGCAACCTAATGAGTCTTTTTATGTTCCTTTTGATTACAACTGCTACTACCGCAATTAATAATGATTATTATTATTATTATTATTGTTGCTACTACTATTACTAGATCATTTTAATATATATATTTTTTAATTTAAACTGTCTGTATTGTACGGTTTATCTTTATTGTTTTAATTTTGCTTGCGCCAGCACTAAGACCTTATAATTGTTCCTGGGCACGTTAAATATATGAGTGATTGATTGACTGATTGACTGATTGATTGAGTGATTTCGAACGATACCGCGGGATATCTCAGCTAACCACGTAAGTGATAGCACGTTTTTCTTTATTACTGCTATTGCGCCCAACTTATATCTGTTTGAATATTGCAGGTAGAATTTTTATTTTCTTAATATAAAAAATAAAGTTCTCTATTGGAGTCCCAACTCTATTTAGAAAATAGATTTGGGTACTTAAGCGCAATACGCGTAATGGACACGCATTCAGTTGAAATAGCTCAATTAAAAACAGAAATAATAATGGCAAGTATCACCGCTATCAACGATAACAAAACAAAAACACATTCTCCCTGCATGGCTGAAGACCTGCTTTTTCTTTGTGTACAAACTCAATGACCATGATCAGAAACTTCTCAACATTCACGCAGTGCCAAGTCGTACATTGTTCTGGCGGCTCCACTTTTGTTCCCCCTAGAAAGTACACAAACATCTTGCAACAATAATGTATCATTTTAACGAAAGATGATATCTTAAAATTAACTATGCCGCGAAAGAAGTTTTCAATAAATTACCCTTATTTAGCGTATTTGAATAGGCACCTTTTTGTTCACGTAGTAATTTATTCACGTGTGCCGAGTTTGCCTGGCGAGTCGAATAATAAATTACGGCCACCTTATTGCTGGGCGGAAGATATTCTCTTGCACAAATTGTAAGCCTTCTCAGCTTTGGGTGAAAAACGAGCAAAATCGCTAAGGCATAGAGCCCGAAAAAAAACAAAAAGAAACCTACAGGTCGCTGTTCCAGCGGACTGATGCATCGACCTGGCGCTAGAAAAAGCCTATGGCGATGATGAAAAAATAAATAAATAAGTGATTTGTTTTTGCCAATTAGGCTCGGCGAAACCAATTAAGAACGAGAGGTGCCTTGATGGGGTTTAAAAAAGTGTTTCATGATTTAGAGTGCTTCGCATTCTACTCTGGGAGAGCAGAAAGCCCTCCCAGCAACGATATGACAGAGAGAGGCGGTACGAACTGAATTCTTATAGCTGGGAGATAGTGGTTCATTTGTCAAAAAGAGAGCCACGCGTATGTAGGTTGCGCATGGGCCTTATAACGGAAGAATGAACTCTATACCATAAAACGTTGGTGTTCTACCTCGTGCCTTAACGACTTTGTTTAAGAACGGCCGAATGAGCTGTCTCAAAATCCATAATACGTTTTTTTTTAAAACGTACAAACATGACATGTTGTCGCGATATGAAATTGCAGTAATTAGCTGTTGTATAAGAACATCATTCGAAAATTGTTCAGTTCAAAAGGTCTGCTTGTTTCGGACAATAACTAATTAGTTCATTCGGTTGATTAATATGCCACACGTAAAGCTTAATTTTATGAGCACGTGCATGTAAAACCTGCCGATGTAAAATATATAATTATATATATCAACGTTTTATAAATAAAAAGAAGAAAGGCGTGCGATTGAAATGGTCCATGAAATATGAGACAACATTGACATAAAAACGAATACATTGCAGAACACGTGTCTGTCCACGCTGCTTTTATGGCCCTCTTTTAGGAGTACAAGAACAAAGAGAGAGAAGGCAGGGAGGTTAGCCAGGCACATGCCCGGTTTGCTACCCTACGCTGGGGGAATGGGAAGGGGGCATAAAGACGAGAGAGAGAGAGAGGAAAGAGCACTATCTTATAGACAAAAATAGACCCGCGATAATGAATTATTTCAAATAAGCTTTCACTACCAAGGTTTTTCGTAACGCGCACCCACAAGCATGTACGACACGTCATCGTCTTTCCAGTTCGTCCTGAATCTGAAGGCACCCTCAACTGCAAGAACTGACACGAATGAAATGTTATTTTACAGCAGATCTATTTGTCCCGATGCGCCTTTAAAACACCACTATTTCCTATGTAAGATATGGCTAACATGCGATCCCACGATTGTGTCGGTTTAGTAATAACCCCTTCGCACGAAAAGCCAACGACATATATTTGTAATAGGTAACATCATATTTTAGTCTGTATTGACGCATTGCAAGAGAAGGATTTTCATTTAGTTGTAGCCATAACTAAATCATTTTCGTACATGTACGTCTCAATAAAACTTTTGTTTTTCGCATGCAGGTATAGTGCATACTCATGCAATCTTCAGGAAAAGGGGAAAAAGTTTCCCCGCATGTCACGCAGTAATAATATCAATATGAATGTGAAGACAATGTATGTAAGTAAATGTTTTGGTGTTTAATAGGTAGGGAATAAATAAAACACAACTTGAGAGATGTGATTAGGAGGACGAGCAGAAATCTATGAACATTGAAGTTGGAAACGTAGCCGAGTATTTCCAAATATGAAGTCCCTTGCGAACACAAGATCACTGACACCAGCCGTGAATGCTCTGAAGTATTACTGAATATTATGATTTCCCTGGGTATCCTTTTGAGTAACACTGCTAATAGAATATTTTTTTCCACCAGAAATCTCTTACTATACACGAACGACGCACAAGAAGCAAAAAGAAATCTAAATAGTATCGTGCATGTAGAAAAAATAAATTTCGAAAATGGAGTGTCGTCGAGCATCTGGCTTGCTTTCCTTCAATGT